AATAGAATAGAATAGAATAGAATAGAATCCAATCCAATCCAATCCAATCCAATCCAATCCAATCCAATCCAATCCAATCCTCCTCTCCTCATAGGAAGGGGTTAGCCCCTAGTGAGACCCTGGTTTCTTCTCCAGCCCCCAAACACCCCAGAAGGTTTTGGGGTGCCCAGAAAGACAGAGGGGCACCGATGCAAGCAGCCTGGGGTGGGTATTTCCATGCTTGCCATGGGAAGTCCCTGGGAGAGCAGGAATCCCTTCCCCCTGGGAGGTGCTGTGGCAGCAGCCAAGTGAGTAAAAAGAAGACAAAGACATTTGTGGGACATGAAGTGAGACTGGGGAGATCATCAGCAGAGATTATCAGTGCACACTGTTGAAGTTTCACCTCCCTAGTGGCTTGTTTTCACAAGGGGGGGATACTTTTTTGAAGCTGTAGCCCTAAAAATGGTTCTGCCTGCTGTTGTATTTTGAAGTTTCCTCTCCTGATGTTTGATGTTTGCTGGCAAAATAACTCCTGTAAAATATTCAGCGTGGCTTTTTCAGAAGCTGTTTCTCCACCTGCAGCATGCTCTGCTCCTTTACCTGGTGTGCCTACTCTAGCTGTTAATTATTAACAAGCCCTGGGGAGGCTTGGGGGGTTTGGGTTGAGCAACTCACAGTTGAGATGGTTTCCATATGTGGTTAAATCCTCCCCAGCAAAGCCTGGGGATCTCCTGTGCTCATGACAACGAGTCTTGTGTGATCACTACTGTCCACCTAAACCAACCTATCTGTGCCTGGCACCTCTCCTCTGCTTTGCCTTCCCTTCCTTCCCCTGCCCCAAAGGTGTAACGCTACGACCTGACGTGTATGGTGACAGAGGACTCCAAATTTACTACAACATATCCAACAACAAAACCTGGGAAGGTTTAGTGACAACTCTTCGGACTTTCCTGACAGGTAAAAATGAGGTTTCCTGCATCAAACTGAAGAAATGTGCTGTCACATCTCCCTTCTTAGGTCTGAGGACCTTAAGTTAGTGTTGCCATCTCTTTGTCCTTTTGAAATCACAGATTTTGAGTGGAAAATGCATCTTCTGAAAGGGGGGGGAGAATCACCTTGTCCATCTACATACATAAAAATGTCTCTTGAAAGCAGAGACCTGCTCCAAAGCTTTTACTTCATTTAGAAGTAAACTTCATACTAGAAAGTGGGAAGGAAGAGGGAGGAAAAAGTCTTCAAAACTAGTCTCTTCTAAAGTAATCTAACAGTGTTCATGACTAAATATCAAAAAGCTGTAATAAGCCTTGTGTTGTGTCACCAGAGTACAGTCCAAGTAGATGAGGTGTTCCATTTCTCTGTATCTTGACACAGTTTGAGTCTGAATATCATACTTCTGTGTCTCTCATAAAAATATTGAGAAATACTATATTTAAAACTGACTTTCTATGGAGCTATCAAGACAGATTGCCAGTCTTAATGCCATTTGAGCATTTTTCCTTTGCCTAAAACCAATAAAACAAACCTTAACTCACCCCCCAAACAATTTAAGCTTTCCTCATTCCATCTAACCCCCATTTCCCTTGAAGCACAGTCTGCCTTGATAAACCCACCAGCCTGATACTGGGATGTGTAACTTCCATCTGAAAAGCTTCAGAGGGGAATTTCTCTTTCTTCCTTCCCATCTCCAGCATACACACCAGCTGCCCAGCACCTGAACATCAACTGCACCAGCGACACCTACTTCATCCAGGACACCTTTGATGGCCCCAATAAAACAAAACTATCCTGCAAATTTACCTCAGATATGCTTCAAAACTGCTCTGGCATCACAGACCCCACGTTTGGATTTCCAGAAGGGAAACCATGTTTTATTATAAAAATGAACAGGGTAAGTCCAAGCTCAAGGGGCTGAGCAGGGAGGAATCCACTGAGACAACTCGAGGCTCTGATGGGGAGTTGGAGTGTTGGCCATGGTCAGGGCTCTGATCTCTGCTTTGTACTGGCAAGATAAATTCAGGTGCTTGCCCCAGGAGACCTCTGGAGTCACCAGACTGGTCAGCAGCCCTGGGAAAGCAATGGAGGGCAAACAGATCTCTGCACTGACCTGCCAAAGCTTCTGCTGTGGTGGATTTTTTAGCATCTCCATCATGCTCTCACCTGATGAGCTACTACATAAACCAGTTTCCTTCTGCAGTCCTGCACTAGGCTGTGACAGTAACCACAGTGTTTTCAGAGGGGGGATACTTGCACACCTTATTTCTCCAGCTTGCAAAGAGAATCTTTAGCAGAACCTATAAAAACAAAATTAAAATCTGGTGGATTTTTTTTTTTTCCAGTGAAAACCACTAACACATTTTTTGGAGAGGAAAAAGGGAATCTTCTGTTCTTCCTTTTAATTTGTTTTAGGACACAAGCAAGGGCAGAAGCATTTCATTTTTGTTTTCAGCTAAAATCCTGAGCCTTCTAGTTCAACTTCAGTAGGAAGCACTCAAATTCTCCTCCAGTCCCTGAAAACCAAACCCACTTGATTTTTGGTTTGGTGTGCATCCTAGATATTTCCAATTAACCTCTGCAAGATCTAAGTGTGTGAGAAGAGCTGCACCCCAGATTTTGGCAGGTACAATGCAGGCTCTGCTTCCTTCATGAAGGAAAGGCAGGCAGACAGTGCTGGGGGGGCTCCACCTCCTTTTGCCTTTGCTGCTGTGGGATCCAACCCCACTAGTCTTGTAGCACCAAAGGGGCCTGAGGGTTTCCCAAATATCCAACCACGTTTCCTCACCCAGCTCCATCACCAAGATGATCTGTATGACAGTGCCTGATGCAGAAACACACAGAGCACCCTTTGACACTCACTTCTTTGCTCTTCCTTATCTCAAAACTATTTCCAAGAGGACCCAATGTCTGTTTTCTGTTTCAGATTATCAAGTTTCTCCCTGGCAATGGCACTGCACCAAGGGTGGACTGCACGTATGTGGTAAGTGTAGGAGGTCCAGGTCTCAAAAGTTTCAGCTCTGATAGCAAGGGAAGCACAGTTGTGAATAGAAAGATGGCCCTAAACTTCTGAAAATCAGATCATTCTGGCCAAATACTGGGGATATTCTCAGCTTTATGCAATTTCTTGCATCAGCAGACACCCTAAGAAGAAGAAAAAAACATAGGCTTTATTTTAAATCCCCTGAAAAATTGTTTTCCCATCACTTGCTGTTTGCTTCAGCTCCCAGTAGTGAAGCTCACACCTCAGGGCAGCTCCTCTCTGCCCATTTCAGCAGCTCTTTGTTTACTGAATCCCCAACTGCTACGAGCTCCCAGTAGTGAAGCTCACACCTCAGAGCAGCTCCTCTCTGCCCATCAGCAGCTCTTTATTTACTGAATCCCCAACTGCTAGGAAAAAACACTTGCCTGTTTTTCTTGGCAACAGGAACAGTGGGAGATTTCCACTTTTATTTGAAAAATAAAAACCTGACTGCTGAACTTGAGTCTTAATCTGCACCGTGCAGCTTTTAGCAGCAATAAAACCCCTTGCTCAGGGTTGCCAAGCCAGCAAAGCTTCTTTTTGACTTTACACACAGGGTGAGGAGTCTCCCCCACTGGAGGTGGACTACTACCCCCTGAATGGCACCTTCAACCTCCACTACTTCCCCTACTATGGAAAAAAGGCACAGGTGGGTGCTCAGGTATCCCTGCATCACTTTTCTCCCTTGCACAAGATGAAACCTATGGAGCATCTCTGCAATCCCACAAGAACTGGAGAGAAAGGTGATTTTAAGACTTCATTTTTAAAATTAAAGTGATTTTTTTCTCCCCCTCCCCATCTCCCAGCCCAGCTACAGCAATCCTCTGGTGGCTGTGAAGTTTCTCAACATCACCAGGAATGTAGAAGTGAAAATAGTGTGTAAAATCATTGGAGCTGGAATCACCTTTGATAATGTTCATGATCCCTACGAAGGCAAAGTGGAATTTAAATTGAAAATAGAAGATTGAGCAGCAACAAAGACACTTCTGAAAAAAAAAGTGTGTGAAGAGTAAACTTACCACATTCATCCATATTTATTTCCTATGATTTCTGTATAAATTCATACAAATTACAGTGCAAAGAGACATTTTCTACTGAAAGATGACCCATATAGCTAAAAATCAAGAGAACACTGTCCATGGGCAAGGAAGATAAAGGACTCTCTTGATGCACATAGCCTAATATTTCATGGCTACATGAAATTTCATCATTTCATGGTATTTCATGCTGCTACCTTCCTGCAAATAGTTGTACAAAACAAGTTTCCTCTGAACTGAGCAGCCCTGCCTTCAAAGTACAGCATCAAAACATGATTTTCTCTCACTTTACAAATCATAATAATTGGTCTATGGTACTAGATCTTGGATGCTGAGAAATAGTTAGATAGCTAAGAAAAGAAATCAATGCTTTGAAATACTAGCAAGTAATATAATTCTCAATCTCTTGTATAGGACACATAAATTCTAAAAGTGTATTAAAATTTTCTGTATCCCAATGCATTGGGTTTTTTTTTTTGTACTAGGCAGACAAATCAGATTTTTTAAACTGAGAAATCAATGACTGCAAAAGAAGTGAACCTGAAAACTGTCCTTAGCTTACAGATTTATTGTACCACTTGCAACTTCTGTATGTATTTAACTTAATGAAAATGACCACTGAGACTGTAACATCCAGTTACATCTAGGAGAAATCTGTTCTTTTAACTATTGGAGTTTGTCATTTGGGGGGTTTTCCACTGGAATAGCCCTGTGTTGAAATGACAAGTTTTCAGTTACTTGGAGTAATCAGGAAGATGTTTAAGAAACACTAACTCTTTTTAAAAGTATCTAAAATTTGAGAAGTATGATGCACAGACACAAGATAACTATGTCTGCATAGGATGTTTACCTTAAATAAAGTCCAGAATGCTTCAGCCAAAGCATCTCTGTTGCACAGAAAGAAGATATTCAAGAGAAGAAACCATTTTACACCTTCACTACCTGGATATTTTAGGAAGTGAGAAAAAAACAGTAAGAAAATGCATCTTCATGTAAAAGGCCTTCCTGTTATGTTTCAGTTTTTACAGTGGGACTTTGTCTCTTGTCTAAGAGATTGAATGAAAATCAGTTTTATATTCTTGCTGGGACACAGGTTCCCCTGTGCATCTTTTCTAAAATAACATGGAAAACAATAAAATAATGAAATACTTTTGATATCAAACCAGCAACTCATGCTCCAAGGCAATTCAAGGTTGTCTGTTAACAGAACATTTAAATATTCCCAAGAAACCCAAGAATTCTCCCTTGGTGTCTCTGACATCAGCAGATTCTCTGCTTGACTGATTTAGGATCTAGTTTCCAGGTTTGAATTGGATGATGGATTGGACCTTTGATGGGAGGAGCACCTTGAAAGGAAAAAGTGAAGTGTCCCTGTGTTGATGAGAGGATGATGTGTTCTGAGACCACAAAAAGAGGGTATGGAGGTCCACCAGATCTGGTTCTTTAAGTGCAAAGATTGTCACCCTGAATTTAGATTTCTCTTGAACTTTCAGCCATCTGAGATGATTCTCTTTCTTTACTGGAATTACAAATTAATCCAGAGCAAGGTTTGTGGCTAGAGTAGGTGAAGTAGAAAAGTTCTGTGGAAGCTCAGAGTGCATTAACCTGGGTACAGTGAATATCAGCTTGCCTGGAACCCAACTAGAAGCACAGTTAAACAGCAGCACAACCAGCACACAACTGGTACAGTCACAGTTGATGTAGTGTCCAAGTGTTAGAGACTAAGAGGTTTCTACACCTAGCAATGATGATTAACAATATGCAAGAACTAATCATTAGCACAAGGCATGTGGTTAAGGAATAAATTCAGTAGTTTTGTTTTCAGGTTTAAAATTGGCCTTGTTCAGTCTTTTCAGCACTCCCTTTGCAAGTCTCCAACTTCTAGACAGATACACACACATGCAAGAACTCATACAGATATATAAATAGATATATATTTATAAATACACTTGCAAAATTGGAGATATATGATTAGAACAAATAATGTAAACAGGAAACAAACTGTCAGGCCACATGGATGTTTGGTTAGGAAACTAAAGCAGCACATTTAAGAATGAAATGGAAGTAAAAACAAATTTCTGAGTTGAGTTAGGTGTTGCTTGTTAGCCCATGTGTCTGGAGCAGCAGAGGGGTCAGGCAGGTATTGCCAGAGGAGACAAGGGGGTGGCCAGACTGTCTGCCCCTTTTCCCATCAGCTGTGCCACAGAGAGGAGGTAAAAGGAAGAGAATAACATGCCATGAAACTGGTATCATTAACATCATTTTTCAAATCCAACAATTTTAGTTTCCAGACTTATCCCTTAAAGGTGTTAAACACCTGAAGATCCATGCAGAGAACAGAAACATGGCAGTTGCTTTGAGATGTATCTTCCTCTCCACACCTCCACCCATTTTTATGAAGATTTATATCATTGATAAAGCAAATAATTGAAGTGTGAGGTCCTAATGTCTATTATGAGGTAGATGAGGATAAGATAGGACAAGAAGAAATAGCCTTAACTCATGCCAGGGGTGGTTTAGGTTGGATATTAGGGAAAATTTCATCACCAAAAGAGCTGTTGACCCCTGGAACAGGCTGCCCAGGGAAGTGGTGGAGTCACCATCCCTGGAGGGATTTAGAAGACATGTAGATGTGGAACTTAGGGACATGGTTTAGTGATGGTCTTGGCAGTGCTGGGTTAACAGTTGGACTTGATCTTAAAATTTCTTTTCCAACCTATTAAAAGTTATGAAGTAAAATTAACAGTGCAGACAAACACTGAATACAAGCTCCTTGATGCTTAGAGGATTTTTTTGTGCTATGACACTACAGCAAGTCCAAAATGTTTGTCCTCTCCCTTCCACCTAAGTACTAGATATTAATATTACATCTTTGCTTAATGGTCTCCTATGATGTCATTGCTATTGCACTTGGGAATTCCTCTCATCCTCTCATATAACTGGTTTTAATCTCTTACCTGTAATAAAAGTCAGGCAGAGATTGATTCTGCAGCAAATGAAGCTGTCTAATGATGGGGCTGCATTCAGTAATTGGATATAGAGTAACATCAATAATGCCTGCAAGAAAACACTTCATGCTCTGCACATGTCCTCCCTTCACAGGCTTCATTTCTTTCAGATACAAAAGTTCAAGCTCAAACAAGATTATCTTGTTTAACAGAATGAAAAATGTGTGTGAAGGAATAGGTGTTCTTTCCTTAATGTCCATTTCATTTGAAAAACACTCCCCCAGTGGGGGCAGAGACTGTTCACTTCTCTTCCCATTTCTTCTTCTTGATGCCAGAGTGGTAACAATGGACATATGGCACTTCTCATTATGTCAAGAGCAGAAATGGAGCTGAAAATTCCCTTTTTAGGACCCTGCTATCTCTCTTAGTCTAAAATGTGAAAGAACTGAGTTCCTCAGAGACACTTGATAATTTTTTTTCTGGGTTATTGAAGAAAATGTTAAACAGAATTAGAATCATACTGGATGTAGCTATTCAGTCAGTGATAATGCCACAAAAGCTATTTTGATTCAGCAGTAAACACTTCCTAACCCTTTAACACACAATCTGCTGATATTGTGAAATAGATATTTAAAGTTATTATCATAAATATTAAATATAAGAAAGATGTTAAACAGAAAGGCTTAAGGATTCTAAAATGGATCGTTTCCTTTATCAGCTCAAAAGTTGCAATCTTCTATATTAATTTGATAAGACTTACTCTGTACTTTGCTATTAATAATTAACCTTCCAGGTTTGTAATTTTCTTTTAGCTGTTTCCTTCAACAGCTTTTCTAATATGAGGTTCAGGGCTGATCTCAGGCTAGACCACAATTGGCCAGGACTTCCTCTCATCACTTTGTAAATTGGCACTCTAGCATTATTTTAGTCTGTAAGAATTTATCACCATTTCAAAGCCCATTAAAAATCAGCACCAGAAATCCAGAGATCCTCTCCACCTAGCAACCCAGGCCATCTGATTAAAGAGAGTTAAGCTTCACAGACTGGTATGGGTTGGAAGAGACCTCTGGAGAACAT